GAACTGTTTGGGAAGGATTAGTAGGCATGGCTATGTTGAAGGAGGTGTGTCACTGGGCATGGGCTCTGAGATTTCAAAAGCCCAAGCCATTCCTAGTTAATTGTCTCTCTGCCTCGTTCTTGTAAATAAGATGTAAGCTCTCAGCTACTGCTCCAGCACTATGCATGTCTGCTTATTGCCATGCCTGGTCACGGACTCTAACCCTCTGGAACTCTCTTTTAAAAAAAGATTGAATGCTTTGTCATGGCAATAGAAAAGTAACTAAGACAGTGTCTCATATGTATATATCTTCTTTCGCTCTCAGTCTTTGTATGACACTGTATTAACAGTCAAAATCAACAAGTGTAATTCAGCATCATCTGTAATAACCTAACTCTATTTAGGACTCTACCTTTGGACATAGAAACACTTTCACATTTATAAAACATCCTCATGAATTATCTACAGACAGCAAGATGTAGAAATAGTTTAAATGTCCTTCAGTGTGAAGAGACACTGTGGTAACAGCCACTTCTGATATACGGATAGTTGTCACAAAAGGGGGAAAACATCAGAAGATTGTATTAGCAAAATCAAAGAAAAACATACACATGCAACACACATGCACATGTAACAGCACTGAATTCTCTTTCTGTGTGGCTTGAAAGGAGAATCGAGAAAGACTTCGGCTCTGCTTGTAAGGTAAAGGACTTGCTAGTGTCCTGCTTTCATTTCTTTTACTGTGATAAAATGTCCCATATAAAAAGCAACCTAGTGGAGAAATAGTTTAAGGTCACAACTCCAAGTTATAGTCCATTATAGTCGACTGCAGGCTAGTCAAGGCAGGAACCTGAAGCAACTAGTCACATTCACAGTAAAGAGCAGAGAGAGAATAAATGAATACATGCATAGTCCTCAACTACCTTTCTCTACTTGTATACAGTCTAGGGCTCCAAACTGGGGAATGGCACCATCCACTTCCAAGTTAGGACTTCCCAGATCAATGAAAGAAATCAGGATAATCTGCCACAAACAACCTATAAGCCAATATGATGTAGACAATACTACATTAAAATACTCTTCCTAGGTGATTCCAGGTTGCATCAAGTTGTGAAACTAGTCATGACAACAAGTAAGATATTACTCAATAATTTCAAATTAGTTAGGAAAACTTACAAAAAGCAGTTATACTATAAAGAAATGGGGTTTAAATACACGTGGGGCAAATCTTACCTGTGTAAAAAACTTTCTTTTGCTAGTTGAATTTGTAGTGTTCCACCTTTCCATTTTGTTTTGTTTAAAATAGACATACCTATATAGTAAAGAATTGCCAAAGTTCATTTCCATGCAAAACTGTATTTCAGCACTTTCCCCCCTTAATTATTTATATTTAGTACTAGAAAAAATAGGCTTATTTGTTACAAAAAGACACCTACAATGTAGAAAAGTGAACCAGAGAGAAAGAACCTAGGCTTCCTGTCTTATTCTGATCAGTTAGCAGTTTTCTCCCCCTTCTTTTAAAAAAAGATTTATCTTTATTTCATTCATTTTATTCCATGTGTGTGTGCATGTTTAGTCTTCTTGTTTGTCTGTGAATACCCCTGAAGGCCAAAAGAGGGCATCAGATCTCCTGGATGTGGAGCCACAGGTGACTGTTGGCCACCCATGTGGGTGCTAGGAAGTGAACTTGGGTCCTCTGTAATAGCAGCAAGCATTCTTAATTATTGAGACATTCCTTCACTCCAGCTTGTAGGTTTCTTTCAGTTACTTGAAGACTAACAAAATAATATATAAACTGTAAAGTAAAACTTATGTGCAAATTGTTTATAAACTCATTTTAGGAACTTCTGGTTTACTATTTATTTACTATTTTGTTATTTTCCATGACTGCAAATAAACAATGAAATGTTTTCAGGGTGAATTAGAGCATATTTCGTGATCTTGTACCATTTTAATCTTTATCCTCAATCCAATTATCACCACAAAGCATGCACACACATTAGCTAGTGATTGAACTGTGCTTCAATTGTTGTGCCCTAGTAGTTGATTTTTCTAATATCTATTGCCAGCTTCCTTAATGTAACTACTAACAGTATTTTCCATGCAGTAGATATTTTACTATGTACAAATGTAATATTTAATTTAGTCCTTACAGTAACATTATGAGGTAAATCACTGTATCTTTTCATTTACTGGACTTAGAAGTTTAAATAAACTACCTTATATATACTCTTGCCAAAAATAATCTTTTTGCAAATGTAATTATATAAGACTGATTATTTTCTCCCAATGGCATGTTCCTTTTACTTGCTTTTCAGTGCCTTTTCCTTTTTTGACTTCCAAGAAATTAGCATACATTAACTGAATCAACAGAATGATAAATCATCATTGAAAGCTAATATTTACCCTTATCTCAATCTGTAAAGAGATATCACAGTTTCAAAGATATGGTCTGACAAGGTCATATTCTAATGTCCTTTCATAATAGGTCTTAAAGACAAAGGATTAGCTGTCTAAGAAAAGAATGGACTTAGGAGAAATGTGGCCTAACATTCAGTGGAATAAGTGTAATAGGTAATTTCTATGGTAGTTTGGTCCTTTGTTCAAATTATTTGAAAATAGCAGTTTCTGAGCAAACCTACTAGCACGTGATACTAAGTCTTCTGGCACTAACTGAATGAATGGAAACATGAGATGTCAGGCCCCAGAATGCTCTTGAAATAGTTGCCAATCTACATAACTCATAAGTGACTATTGAGGCTTAGATATGGAACCACAGTCATTTCAGTTACAACCACACTGACAAATAAAATAAAAAGCACATGATGATCTTACATTTTTTCAGGTCCGCTTCTGTTATTTTGATGTTAACATATGCAAAGACCTTTTGTGAATTTCCTAAAAAAGAAAATTTGGTTGATTTAAATTCTTATCCAGAGAACCATGTAAATCTCAATAGTTTTTGTTTTTGTTTTATTATGAGACACCTGGCAGGCCTTGAACTCAGATAACTGCCTGCCTCAGCCTCCTGAGTGCTGAGATTAAAGATGTACACCACCACACACAGCCTTAAAAAGCTTTCCAAGTTTAAAAAGTGAGTTCTTAAATACTTATTCTTTGAAAGAAAATACTTTTTGTCACAACAGACCAAAGACTGAATTTTTATAAATACAAAATTCTTCAAAATAAAATGAGTAAAAAAAAAAAAAAAACACCCCTCAAGTAATCAGTGAAGACGAATCTTGATTGTATGTTAATGACAGTCAACTTAACAAGATACTTAATGCTAGAATGTTGACTCCTAAAATTGAAAGTAAAGATGTCTTGGAAATTCAAATACTTTATAAGTTTTCTGGTTTCAAAATTAACTTTCATATGGAATACCTCCAGGACACCATATATCATTTTCAATGTCTAGCGCTAATATTCAGCTCCAGAGTTGGTTTCTTCTGTAATCCCTGTCCTGCGTTGATACATATCCAGTTAATGGTTAGAGAATTACCTTGGTCATCTTTCCGAGTGATGATCTCCACATCAGAAACTTCTCCAAATCTGCTGAACTGATTTTGTAGGTCTGTCTCAGAAATGCCTTGTCCAAGCCCACCCACAAAGAGGCGCTTCATTTCTCTGTTGGCTTTCATGAATGCTGGGCATCTATCTGGAAAAGTAATTTTGTGAAGAAAAACACTTTCTTAATAGTTTTTTTCCACAAATATAACCCAACTCTCCCCTGAAACTTCTGTGTCAATTTGGTCTTATGGAACTCATTATTCGTATTATTTCAGATTTTATACCTGGGAATTTTACAAAGTCCCTACATCCACATTCTTAATGAATGCACTTTTGAAACCGCACACAAACACTAATGTTTTCTCTGTAAACAATCATAGCTATTTTATCTTACCCTTTTCATTTCCTTACTCAGTACTGGGTGTCCCCCCCACCCCCCGTGATTCGTTTGCACATTCATTTTGACTTTAACAGACACTAACAAAATAGTAAGCTAAAGGCTAAAAGTATCTCCATCCTGGAGCTCCATAGTCATAACAGAGATAAAGTCTGCAACTACAACAGTATAGCATAATACAAGCGTCCCCAAAGCGCTCTTCAGGCACAAAGGGGGCAACTAATGTTATACCTAAAATATTTTTCCCCACTGTGTGCCTGGATTGCACAAAGCACTTTGAGTGGTTTTCATTGTTCAGAGGGGCAGGAGAGGTAAAGACTTTTCCCAGTGCCACTTAGAAAACACCAGTGGTGAAGCAAGGATAATAATCTGGTCTAATTTCAGAGCCTGGAACTGTTAACACTACACTACCAGCGTTGCTGGGAAAGTTTTCAGGAGGTCCCTCCATCTCGTTCAGCTCTCGGCAGATGCTCAGCTCTCACTCAAACCTTCCTCAAAAGCTGGCTGACTCCTTCCAAGCGAGATCACACAACAGCCAGCAGGAGAGAGAGCAAAGACCTGCAGTCTGGGAGAGACCTACAGTGTGCCACTTCTTGACAGCCTCCGCCCCATCCTACCCACTCCTTCTTCCTCCGAGAAGTCTCAAGTTAGGAGAGGAGAGGTTAGGCCCAACTGCCCACCACTTCTCACACGCAAACACACCCCTCAAGGCGCTGCCTGTCAGCTCTAGCGCAGTGTAGCCCCCAACATCCAATAACACGTGCCAGTAGGAGCACTTTTTTTTCTTTCCTACAGGATTTCCGACCCAGTCTCCCAAGGTTCCGTTTCCACGCAGTTCCTGAGGGCTCTTTATTTCGTCTACCTTCGTTCTAACTAACGTTCCGCTACCTTCTCTTCCACGTCTGTAAAAGAGCCGAGGGAAAATAACTCCGTAATTCCTACAGAAGAGACAGGCCGCCACGTGACGCCTGACTTCCGGGCCAAGTAGGCGGAAGTGGGGAAGCGGAACAAAAATAAAGAGACTCTTTTCCTCGTGCTTCCCGAGACCGCCCCCTCAGTGACGTAAGGGTTCGGGTTGCTCAAAGGCCCTTAGAGGGGGGTGAGCAGCCCTTGGAGCTTGACGTTCGATTTGGAACGAACCAACTCCAGGGAGAGTCGGGAGTGTCTAGCCACCCGACGCGACGTTCTGAGGGACGGAAGGCGCTAGAACGTTGTTTGAGGGTGGGGCGGACACGTGTCGCCCAGCAGCCTCTCCCCCGCGAGCTCGTGAATGGTCCGCGCCGGGAGCGCGCGCGCTGCTTGAAGCGCCGGGCGAGCAGGGCGCTCTGACAGGGCTGTGGGCCGCGGCTCCTGCGGCAGTGCTGGACGCGAGGTGCCATGGATCCCGAGACCCGCGAACTGCGCGCCTTGGAGGCCGAGGTGGCGGCGCTGCAGCGGGAGTGCAGTATGCTGCCGAAGCCCTGTCAGAAGACGTCGGGAACCCGGTACGCGGCTCCTGTCCACCCCTCGGGCCCACGCATCCTAGCACCCCGCGGACCTACCTGCCAACCTCCTCACAGCTCGGGGCTCCGACTCCGTGCGCGCCGGGTGCTGAATAGTGTAATGGGAGACCTCCCGAAATGTGAATTTGAATCAATTTCGATTCTGTGAGGACACCTCAAGAGTGTGAGCACTGCCTTTGGCGCTCATGGCTTGATTATAGTCAGCAGAAAATAGTTTTGCCCGGTTGATGAGAATCACTGGGAAAGCCTTGCTTTGCTTTTAACTAAGCAATCTCGCCTTCGGGAAACAGTATCTAGTTGGGCTATTTTTATAGTTTTGGAGACATTCTTACTCTGTAGATCAGAAATTCGCTCCACTTCACTTCAAACTCACGATCCTTCTTCCTCAGCCCCCAACCCCAGCGGTGGGGTTATTACCCGAGCCGCCACGCCTTGCTCTAGTTGGGATTTCCTGACTTTGTTTCATGAATTTGTTTTTGTGGGTCACCTAACTATAGTTAAGTGATCCTGATCTTTTTGTGTCAGGGTGGTGGTGGTGGTGGTGGTGATAATTAATGACAGAAATGACGTCTGAAAAATAGCTTAGGTGAAATATATATGGCTAATACCGTCTATAGGAACGTCTGGTAATCCTGTGGATTAGGTGCTGCCGTTAACCCCTATTTGAAGGTAATGAACATGAGGGTCGAGAGTTAACTAAGGTACTAGAAAAATCCAAAGTCCAAGCATTCTCCTCAATTCAAAGAGAAGAAAGAAGGAAGGCTGGAACTAGCAGTAAATTTAGTATCTTAAACATGAAAACAAACTATTTTGTTAGGTATAATTTGGTTCACTTGCAGAGAATGAGATTTTCCTTTGCTGAAAAGAACCTTTGGAGTGCAGGAAAATGTGGCGAAGTCTTAAAGAAAAAAAAATAAGAGAAAGTTGTAACTGATGAAAAGGAGAAATGTGCACTTGCCTAGATATGCTCTTCCACAAGCAAGGCTGTGAGATACTTGCTACTGACTCAAGTGTGACCCACATATTGGAAACATTAGGGTTACCTATGAGTTGGTGAGACTACCAAGATGACTCCACCTCCACTTAGCAAAGTAGAATTTGTATTTTATCAAGACAGCCAGCCCCTATACCCTTTGTATGCACACTTTAAAGTTTGAAAGGTGGAAGCCGGGTGGTGGTGGCACACACCTGTAGTCCTAGCACTCAGGGGGCAGAGGCAGGCAGATCTCTTGAGTTTGAGGCCAGCCTGATCTAGTGAGTTCCAGGACAGCCAGGACCATTAAACAGAGAAATCTCGTCTCAAAAAAACCAAGAAGAAAAAGTTTGAGAAGCATTATTGTTGGTTACGCTGTGGTGCTGCTCCTGGTGGCTGGCGGCCATGCTGGCGGAGGAGAGTGCTGATTGGAAGAATCACAGCCATGGTTACCTTTTTAGAGCTTTATTGGGGGGGGGGGAGAGGGGGGAGAGAAGGGGGGGCAGACGGAAGGAAGGAGCAGAAAGGAAAGAGGGGCGCACAGAGGGCCCACCCGCTTTTTAGGCTGGGACGCCGTCGAAGGCTGATGACGTAATTAAGGACCGTATCCTTACATCCGAGACTTTCCCTTATTAAAAAAAAAAGCAGGTAGATGGGACTAGGGGCGTCGTTCCTCTTAAAAACTGCTTCCAGCTGACTCTTGGACGTCGGTTGGCTCTGGGGGAATAGAGAAGGGGAGTTTTCAGAGGTAGACAGGCGTTGTGGGATACTGTCTGTCGTTCGTTTGCTCTGGAGACATGTATCCCTCTTGGCTGTGGCTGGGAACTTTCTGTCTGACAAGATGCTGGTGACACAGAAAAAAGCTTAGAGAGAAAAGAATCATTTTTATTTTATGTTGGTAGATCCGTCCTGTCCAGATGGATTTTGAAACATGTTAAGCTTTATCAGAAACAGATTATTTTAAAGCACCTGTTTTCCTTTACTAGTTTGGCATCCAGGAGACAGGTGATCAATTGTTAAAAGCATCTTATAGTAATAGATGTTTACATTAAAGTTTTTTTTTGTATCACCCAGACGCTTTTGGGTCTGGGGGTGTAAATGCCTTTAGTTGTTACAGTTTCTTACTTGATGATTTCTGGACTCTGGTTCTGTGGTGGTCCTGTATCATTGGCTGAACAGTGAGTTAGAACAGGGAACTGGGAAGAGAAAAGCTTGTGGTATATGAGAAATTTTTTTTTTTTTTTGAATTAGGGACAAGGCAAAGATTAGGGCCCTGTCTGTATGCACGTGAGAAACACAGGCAGTGGATCTGGAGTGAAGCAATGAGCTCTTATTTTAGGTGGAAATCTTTTTTCATTAAGTAACTCTGAAAGTGCAATTAAATCAGGTGAGGTGGTAAGGGTGTCCTCTGTACCCGACAATAAAGGAGAGGTGATATCCCAAAACTCCCAGGACTGAGTCAGTGGCTCTGGTGTCCAGAAGGAAAGAAACGGATCGCTTCCCTGCTGAGTTCTGGGTTCCCTGCCATGTCTGTAGCCGAGCCTAGGTCTGTTGGAGGTCTTAGCTTGATGTACCCATGCATCTTGGCGCCTGGGGGCAGTCAGCTGACTCTGTCTTTCTAGGTGGCACTTTTAACAAGGCTGTCGATGGCCTGGCAGGGCATTTGCTAGCCCGTGGCCTTTTCCTCACTTAAAACAGGGACCCAACAGCTTTTGGGAATCAGCGAGTGCCAGCACTTGGCAATTTTGTTTTCAGGCTTTTATCTCTTCCCTGGCACACCTTAAATGCCACAGATGACTCTTTTGCCTGTGGGGTCAGGAGCCTTACTCTCCAGATGCTTAAGTTTTAGTCGGAGAGGTCTGAGGAAAAAGAGATGGATTTTACTCCACGTCCTGAATATTTTTTTTCCCTGATGATTGATGGCTTAAGGACAGCTTTTGGAAGATCTGCCAGTAGGCAGACTATAAACCGATCCTTTTGGAAGACTTGTCTGAGGCTATAAGCTGATTTTTTGGCTTAAGAGCCATCCTGACTACTGTAAACTTATTTGTATGGATCTTAGCCGCTTTTAGACCCATCTGTGCTTCTCAAGGCAGTTTGAGAATGAGTGGGTGGAGTTAAGGTGAGTTAGGGGGAGTCGTAGAAACTGCCCAAGCCCGCCCACTTGAGCCTGCCCATTGTTGGCAGAAGTCTGACAGAAAAGGTTGCACGTGGCAGACACAGAAGTGGGGAGGGAGAAGGGTTTAGAACTTTAGCAGAAAGCTTGGGGGATAAAGTAACTCTTATTTGCCTGTTTGCTGGCAGAAGTTCCCACGACTCTGTTATGTGGCCAGGTTTACCGGTGCCCAGCCCTATCCGCCAATGTAGGTGGCAAATGTATCCGCCCCTTTGTCTCATGGCTGTAGCCGAGAGAAAAATAAAAAATTAAAATAACAAACTGGGATCAGACTACAATCTCAGGCGTCCCCGAGATTGGAGAGAGATCTATGAATCAGCTCAAGTCACGAGTCCTCTTCATCAAGGGATCGTGAGGGCTGCGACTGTACTGCAGTTGGTCCACTGTTGAACCCTAGCCACCATTTACCTCCTCGTCAGGAGCAAAAATGTGCCTGCTGTTGCCAGTACAGCCCAAGGACAACCCCTGGGGTGTCCGTCACAAAGAATATAGCTCAGACTACAGCCTCGAGAACACCAGACTTACTGTGGTGAAGAATCATGGTGGTAGCTGTGTGGGGGTCCAGTGGAGGCTGCGAGGGACACGCATGTGCTCGCGGTCTCGCTGGATGGGGGAAGAGGCGGCAGGCGACAGTGGTCATAGCAGGTCCTTGGTGCTTGGTGGTGTATTCGAGTCTGAACCGCACCAGTGTTGGTTATGCAGCACACTGCTCCTTGTGGCAGGCGGCAGCCATGCTGACAGAAGAGAGTGCTGATTGGAAGAATCACAGCCATGGTTACCTTTTTAGAGCTTTATGGGGGGGTGGGGGGCAGACGGAAGGAAGGAGCGGAAAGGAAAGAGGGGGCGCACAGAGGGCCCACCCGCTTTTTAGGCTGGGACGCCATCGAAGGCTGATGACGTAATTACAATAGGGGAAAGTAGTTTCTTTACTCACCACAAGATGTCAATATAAGCCCAGTATAATATAGTACATTGTGTAGAATTCTCAGTAATGGAGTTGAAAGTTAGAAGAATTTAGATTAGGGAAGACATGAAATGTCAGTCAGAGTGTGTGGATTTAGTGTGAAATTTTTCTCACTGTGGTGAAGGAAGATTGAGGCCTGTGTACTAAGCTACTTAATTTTTTAAATTATTATTGCATGCGTATTGTGTGTGAATGACGGCACATGTATGCTATAGCACTTTCTTTTTTTTTTGAGAATTTAATAGTATTATGTTTAATCATTTCCACATCCTCTCCTTTTTCAACCCTGCCTATGCTCCCTCGCACTTATTAATATAATTATAATTTAATTTTGTCATAAGGCAGTAAGTGTGCATATATGGCCTTTTCACACATATTCTCCTCATTTGACACCACACCATCCCCTCAATTTCCATATCCTCCAATCTCTTCCCATTTAAATTTTCTTTTCTTTTTTTTTCATTTTTCTTTATTAAGAAATTTTCTACTCACTCCACATACCGTCCACAGATTCCCTCCTCTCACCCCCCAGCCCTCTTTCCCAAGCCACCCCGCATCCCCACATCCCCCAAATCGAGGTCTCCCATGGGGAGTCAGGCTATAGCACTTTCAAGCGTCAGTTCTCTCCTTCCAGTGGGGATAAAACTCCAGTGTCAGGCTTGTGCAACGAATACTTTTACCTGCATAGCCTTCTTGCCAATCCTCCAAGATACTTTTAAAGTGATCTTAACGGTTGACTGGATTGGCAGCTGGAATACTGTAACAAAGTTGTTTAGATAAATCCATGTGCCCACACTCTGATTCCAAAATTACATGACTTCAAATCCTGGCTTTGCTATGGGCTGAGTGATCTTGATTTGGTAATCTTCTCCTCTTGTGCTTCAGGGTTTCTCTTCTCAAAATTTCTTTTGCCTAATTGCTTCCACTACAACATTGACTAGAAATGATGAGGTATATTCCTTTTCTTTAATTTTTTTTTTAGTTAGCATACAAAGTAGTTGATTTCACCATGGCATCTTCTTACACATATATGCTGTTATCTTTTGTTCCCATCCATTCTCTTTGACCATCTCCCAAAGCTGGCTCTCTTTCTTCCTCCTGTAGGTCCTGCCTTCTGCTTTCCCCTCCACATCCTCTGTCTAGTTTCATGATCTGTACTCACACACACACACACACACACACACACACACACACACACACACACACACACAGAGTGGGGGGCAGAGGGGAGAACAAGAATTTTGGGTGAGAAAAAAGTAGTATTTGTCTTTTAGGCTTATTTCATTTAATATGATTTCCTGTTACCTCCATTTTCCTGAATTTCTGAAGTCAGTCAGTCAGTCTGTCTGTGTCTGTCTGTCTATCTCTCTCTCTCTCTCTGTCTCTCTCCCTTTCTCTCTCTCTCTCAGTAGAGTCAAATTTTTTCTTACTGTGACAGTCTCCTTCATCAGGTCACATAGAGGCAGCTATCGGCTACCATTTTTCTTGGAAGTCGCTAACTCAAAAAGCTTCAGAATGTCCCTGTTCTGACTGCATGTGTGTATGTCTATGTACTACATGTGTGCCTAGTGCCCACTAGAGCCAGAACAGGGTGTCAGAGCCCCAGAACTGGAGCTACAGACTTATAAGCCACCATGTGGGTGCTGGAAGTCAAAATTGGGTCCTCTGGAAGAACAGCCAGTGCTCTTAGCCACTGAGCCAGCTCTCCAAGCCTCACCTTCAGTGCTAGGGACAGAACCTAGAGGAAAAATTGTATAGTAAGTTTTACACTTAGTAGTTGCCAAGTAACTATTTCTGATATTTGCTTTTCAGGAAATCACTTCAAAAATTTCCCCAGTCAGATTCTGAGGGATGGGAATCCTTGAAAGACCTGAGAAGTCAGCTTGGACATTTACAATCTGAACTTTCATTTCTAAGTCAACTTACTGGCATCAATATAAGAAATTATTCCAAGATTGAGGACATTACAAACACTGAAGTGACGGAAAAGGGTAAGTATTATTTTTTAACCTGGATGTGGTTTTTAAAATTTATTATGAGTGTGTGTTGGAGCAGGGCACACGTGTCACAGTGTGCTTGTGAACATCAGAGGACAGCTTTCAGGGGTCTGGTCTCTCTCCGCCATGTGGTGGCAAGTCTGTCTTCTAGTTTCTGCATTACACCCTCCATCCAGGCTGGCTGGCCACAGCTCCCAGTCCTCATCCTCCAGGCTGGCTGACCACAGCTCCCAGTCCTCATCCTCCAGGCTGGCTGACCACAGCTCCCAGTCCTCATCCTCCAGGCTGGCTGACCACAGCTCCCAGTCCTCATCCTCCAGGCTGGCTGACCACAGCTCCCAGTCCTCATCCTCCAGGCTGGCCACAGCTCCCAGTCCTCATCCTCCAGGCTGGCTGACCACAGCTCCCAGTCCTCATCCTCCAGGCTGACCACAGCTCCCAGTCCTCATCCTCCAGGCTGGCTGACCACAGCTCCCAGTCCTCATCCTCCAGGCTGACCACAGCTCCCAGTCCTCCCCACCAACTCCTTGCAGATCTCTTCCTCCTTTTTCTCCCATGTATATTCCAAGGATCTAATGTAAGTCCTAATGCTTACAAGGCAAAAGCTCTACCAACTGACATAACCCCTAGTCCTATTCTTAACCTTTAAAAAAAAAATTAGTCTGCTCAAATTTAAAAAGTACTGAAATTAAAGTAATTTTTTTTTTCTGTAAATTTATCCCATTTAGCAAATGGCTCAATCTAAAGCAAATTACTTTCAGAGATGATTTTCACTAAAAGAAAGCTTTTCATCCTACAGTGCTTCTATTTCTTTTAATAGTTCTATACTTGAATGATAATTATTAAGGGACTATTTAACATGCTGGTTTCTACATTACACAGTTGCATGACTCACATATATTAAAATGAGGTGTGCTGTGAATGCATTTTGGGGAATAAATTTTCAAAAGAAAGAGGCTAGGAGAAAATGTTAGATTTTTTTAATAAAACAATTTTCTTTGGGTGGTGGCATGTAGTTTTTTTTCCCATTTGTACTCCCATGTTTTCCCAGTTTTCTAGAAAAATAAACTTTATTACTGCAATGAAAAAAAATTTTATTCATTCAGATTTTAAAAATACATAAAGTTTATTATAGTGTATATATGTAATCTGTATATGTATTGTATACTTTCTTAATGAAAAAAGCAAAATTTAGACTCAAATCACAGTATTTATGTGGGCCTGAGCATCTTGTCTGCAATGTGATCTGTGTTACACCCCCCCCCCCCCAACAGGGTTTCTCTGTATAGTTTTGGTGTGTGTCCTGGAACTCACTGTAGACCAGGCTGGCCTCGAACTCACAGAGATCCGCCTACCTCTGTCTCCCACGTGCTGGGACTAAAGGCTGCACCACCACCGCCTGGCCTGATCTGTGTTATTTCTAAGATTCCATTCAAGATTCATCTTTACCATATTTTGGCCCTTTTATTACTTTTTAAAAATTACATTTATATAGTTAGTGTATGTGTGTGGGACATGTACCAGAATGCTTGTGTCAGAGGACAAATTAAATTGAAAAAGTTGGTTCTTTCCTTCTACTGCGTGGGTTCCAGGTATCAAAGCTGGGTTGTTGAGCTTGGTGCCAAGTGTTTTGATCCCCCAAGCCATTTCACCTACTGGTCCTTTGAGTTTTTTAGGGACAAAGTCCAAGATCACCTGGATTTTCTTTAGTATTATACTCTATGAGTTATGTATTTTTGTTTTTTATTGTATATGTCTGTGATCTGTTTCGAATTGTTATAAAAGTCAGTGTTTAGATTTTTTTTTTTGCATTCAGATGTCCAACAAATTTTTCAACTAGAGTAGCCTTTCTCCATTGACTGCCTTTTTTTCTTTATCACAAATAATTTTACTATATTTATGAATTTACTTCTTGGCTATTTTGTCCTTTTGCTCTATTTGTCTATGCTTTAACTGACACCACATTGTCTGAATTATAATGGCTTGATAGTAAGTTTCAAAATTGGGTATTCTTTCTCCTTCCCTCTGTGTCTTGCTCTGGTCTAGTACCCACCCCTTGCTTTGCTGTCTTCCTTCCTGAACTTTACAGTGTATCCCAAATTCCTAATACCCTGCTTCAGCCTCCCAAGTTCTGGGATTGCAGGCATGCACCACCACATCCAGCATCTTCATTTGTCACCACCTGTAGAGTAAGTCGGTGCTACCAGATCAAATGCCTGTCTGGTACTGTTCTGTAAATGAACTTGCTCCTGTGCTTTCTTTGTTGCCTTAGGTTTCAGTTCTCCTACATCTTCCAGGTCTGTGCACTACCTAATTCCTCCATCGGGTTTCCACCTTCCAAAGTGAAGTTGTTCCTTTCTTTCCTGGTCTCTTTATCTTTGTAGTATTGTGTCCTCCTAAAAAGAACTTCCTTAGTAAAACTACTTACCTCCATGTAGTCAGAATAATTCTTAACTCTTGGGAGCTAAGGAATAGTCTGTGATAGAAGATAAGGGAAACTTACAAGGTACTATAAGATTGGGACATCTTGACTTGAGTGCTGGTGACATGAGTAAACACATGTAAAAATGATAGCGGTATTAAGAGTATTGCGTTTTAGGCATTTAAATTATGCTTGCTATATTTCAGACATACCGTTGGACTCACTTTTGTACTAGGCTTTTTCTTTTGAGCCACCAACCAGCTCCCAAATCAAGACATGTAGACTTACTAGTTTTGAATGTTTGGCCTAGCTTAGGCTTGTTTCTGGCTACCTCTTTTAGCTTAAACTAACCTGTTTCTCTTCATCTACATTTTACTTCAGGGCTTTTTACCTTTTGGTGTTTTGCCTGCATGTAATGTCTGTGTGAGAGTGTCAGATCTTGGAGTTACAGACAGTTGTGAGCTGCCATTGGTGCTGGGATTTGAATCCTGGGTCCTCTGGAAGAGCTCTTAACCACTGTGCCATCTCTCTAGCCTCTACCTTTTCTTTCTGTATATCCTACTCTGTCCAGCTTGTTGGCAGCTTCCTGACTGTCTGGCCCTGGACATCTCCCTCTCTTTCTCCTTCAATCTCTCCTTCTTCTCTTCTCTTGTTCTATTTATCTCTCTGCCTGCCAGCCTCATCTATCCCTCTTCTGCCGAGCTATTGGCCATTCAGCTTTTTATTAGACCAGTCAGGTGCCTTAGGCAAGCTAGGTGAAACAGCAACACATCTTTTCATAATTAAACAAATGCAGCAGAAACAAATATAGCACACCTTTACACAGTTAAAGTGTAGCTGAAGAGTTTCTCTCTGGGTCCCACCAAGCCCCTGCAGTCCCACAGCCCACTTATAAAATAACCACTCAGACGTTTATATTACTTATAAACTGTATGACCATGGCAGGCTTCTTGTTATCTAGTTCTTCTATCTTAAGTTAACCCGTTTCTATTAATCTATATCTTGCCACGTGGCTCATGGCTTACTGGTATGCTTGCATCTGGCTCCTCATCACGGCGGCTGACAGCGTCTCTCTGCCTCAGCCTTCCACTTCCTAGACTTTTCCTCTCTCTTTGTCTTGCCTATACTTCCTGCCTGGCTACTGGCCAATCAGTATTTTATTTATCAGTCAATCATCCACAGCAGTTAAAGTAATATTCCACAGCATAAACAAATGTAACACATCTTTGCCTAGTTAAATATTCAACAACACATTTTAGTGGTTTTTTTGTTGTTTTGTTTTTAAGATGGTGTCTCTCTATGTATCCCTGGCTAGTCTGGAACACCTATCAATCCACCTGCCTCTGCTTCTCTAGGGCTGGAATTAAAGATATGCAACACCATGCACATCTTTAGTAGAAATTTGAGAGGTAAGAAAAGTAAACACACAGATTTGATTTATTATTTTTAACCATGTCTTGAAACAACTAGGTAGTAATATATGAGACCAGCCCCAAAGGACCATGAAGCTAAAGTAAAAGAGTCATGAAGAACTAGATTTGTAGAGTACAGTTTATAGATATCTGATTCTGAGTTTTGCTAAATGCCAATTGAATCTTTGAAATGTGAGTTAGAAAGATGGATATATTAATGGGTTAGAACAAAAGTAATTTCTTCCTGCCTGGACTGTACCTTCTGTGTCTTAATGTTAGAGTCAGGTGTATATCAGGAATCAGCGGCCAGCTATAATGCTCCAAATATGATTGTAATAGTATTGAGTTTCTTTGGAAACTGTCAGAAAAACCAGCTAATCTTACTCTGGTACAATTGTGGTGATTATAGTAATGTCAAGATAAATCCATACAAACAAGATAATATTGAAAAAAATTCAAATAGACAGGCAAGATGTATGGCTCAGCAGATAAAGGCCCTAATACCCAACGTAATAATGACCAGAATTCATTCTCTGGAACCAACATAGTGGAAGAAGAGAACTGATCCTTCAAGTTGTCCTCTGTTGTTCACATGCATATCACACACACACACACACACACACACACACACACACACACACACACACACACACACGCACACGCACACACAAACAAATAAATATGAAAATAAATTTAAATACAGGCTGTGTGGTGGTACATGCCTTTTATCTCAGTATTCTGGAGGCAGAGACAGGAGGATCTCTGTGAGTTTGAGGCCAACATAATTTACACAGTGAGTTCCAGGATAGCAAGGACTATAGCATCTCAAAAAAAAAAAAAAAGTAAATAAAAAATAATGAAAATAAAACATATGACAGTTAACATGATTCAGACTTATTTAGGGTTATATCGTGTGTGTGTGTGTGTGTGTGTGTGTGTGTGTGTGTGTGTGTGTGTGTATTTTTGTTACCTCAACCATTGGTATACTTGAGAACTTGAAAGTATAAATTTTTAGTATTTCTATTTTATAAGGCCAATTTCTTTGACATGACCTTCCAGGTTTTTTTTAAAAATTTATTTACTTTATGTGCATTGGTGTTTGCCTGCATGTATGTTTATGTGAGAGTGTCAGATCTTGGAGTTACAGACAGTTGTGAGCTGCCACATGGGTGCTGGAAATTGAACCCAGGTCCTCTGAAAGAATAGTTAGTGATCTTTACCACTGAGCCATCTCTCCAGCCCCAGCCCTTCCAGATTTTTTTTAAAGCAATTACTAATGTATCCTTTCATAAATCTATTCACAAGTAGATATTCACGTAAGTATTAGAAGAAAAGTATTCCTTTAAATAAAATATTTGATTTTCTAATTAACAGATACAAAGAAAATTCTACAGAGACACAGATTATCAGGAAATTGCAACATGGTTACATTTCAACTGGAATTTCAGGTTCTGGAAATTGAGGTAACTTGAGCATGTTCTGATAACACATTTTTTTTCCTATGAGAAACAGTTCCCATACTTAGTCACTCATAAGCCAGGGTTCCTTATAGCACATTTGTTTCATAAAAAAATTTCAGAGTACCCTCTTATAGACAGATTTTTCTTTGGGTCACCAGCTCACAAAAAATGAGCTCGGCCTTACCATAGGCTTGTTCTTAACTAGTTCTTATAACTTAAATTAATCCATATCTTTTAATCTATGTTCTTTTACATGGCTCGGTTACCTTTATACTGCCCATCCTGCTTCTTCAACATCTGGCTGGCCACCTGCCTTCTTCCCAGCATTCTCTCTCTGCCCAGAAGTCCCGCCTATCTCTCCTGCTTAGCTATTGGCTGTTCAGCTTATTACACCAATCAGAGCAATACATCTTCACAGTGTACAAATATTCCGTAACATCCTCTCAACTGAACATGATGGAACTGGTGCTGAACCCTAAAGCAGGAATTTAACAAGGCAATTCCACGTAGTTTATCTGGTAGTTAAAAAGAGGTTTATTTTGGGGTAACTTACAACAAGTAAAGGGGTCGGTTACAGAATCCAGGAGAGGTGAGTTGCAGTCCAGTGTGGTTCTCTGGAGAACTCTGAGTTGGTCTGTGATCCAGCATCTAGGATCACGAGGAGCCAAGAGGGCCAGCACATACACGGATCTCTGGTTTTAAGGGCTTCCATCTCAGCCACGCCCCAGGAGCAGGTCATAGGTAGGCATGGTAGTTACTGGCTGCCTCACTAGGGGCAGTGCTTCAAGGTCAAAGCTGGAACAGCTACCCACTGTATTGCTCATATGTGCTTTATTTTGAGCCAGATAGGAGATGGTTTTACGCTCCCGATGGAAGCCTCTCAGGTTGTGGAAGCAGTTTTGCATGCTGCTAGCAGTTAGCTGATGGGCAAAGATATTATCTTTTAATTATTTATTTCTCTGTAATTTCCAAACATTTATTATGTTGAAACAACAAAAAAATACTACCTTACAACTTTTCTATGTGTCAGGAATGTGGGAGCAGCCCAGTTGGGTGTCCTTGTGTAGGGTCTGTCAGGTAGCAGTTGTCTTGGGACCACAGCCTTGTTGAAAGACTCTTGAGGTAGGTTGATCCTGCAGGTTATCCTGGACTACTAAACAACACAGGAGGACATGCCTTTGGCTTAGACTTTATTCAAGGTAATGCAGTAGACAAAATGGGCATGTGTAACCCTGTGGGCTGGAATAGAACAGCTGAAGCAGAACAGACTCAATAGCCTGAGGCTGCCTCTGAAAAGATTCAAATCTCGTCATAAGTTTTAGAACCAGCCTAGCTGAACACGTACTTGGTAGCAGAAGTTTCAACTAGTTGATTTTGCCATCTGGGTTTACAAGAAATTCAAATGTACACAGAACAGAGCCAGGGAGGATAGAAAGATTGTCTTGGTCTCAGATCATCAAGTGGATGACGTGTGGAAAGGCTGTTGTCACCTCAAGCTCTGTAGACAAGCTGCACTCAAGTACTCAGTCTCAGGTGCCAGGATTCCTTATCCTAGTCAGTATCCTCAGCCACGAAACAAGCCCAAATTGTATCTTCTTTTATGGGACAGAAGTCAGTGACTGAGTTAGTACCCTGTGTCTACATGTCAGAGAACCATATAATAAAAATAATCCAAGCGTGAGGTTCAGATATCTAGGCTTTGAGCTTTTGCTTCTCTGTTAATGTCATTTACTGTCACTGGCCTGGGGCAGGCTAAGGATGGGCTGTGGAATATCTAGTTCTCATCTGATGACAGAACTCCTAACATTCACTCACCTCATTATCACCCTTCAGTATTACCAATATGACTGAGAAAATGCAGTGTGGTGTTCCAAATACCAGTTGAACAAAAATACATTTGTTGATTCAAAAATACAATTCTCATCTCAAAGGAGATACAGCAAAGTGGGGAGATCTCAACTACAGGCTTCAGGTGCTATCTGGTGATATTTTTAGCCTGTTGGGTTGGTGGAAGCTAGTAGTCTGTCAAAAGTTAATAGATTCTAAAAAGTTTTTATATGTTCGTCACAGAATATTGGGTCCAATACAGAGGAGGGCAAGGTACGGCTGTTTAGGGGACTAAAGGTAGCCCAAGACAAATTGTAATTTGGCTCTGGACTTGAAACATTGCAAACTCTACAATCATTGAAGCTCTAATCAGTTAATCAGTCTTGCAAAATGTTTCATATTGAAGGTGTGGCTTCTTTCTGAGAACTTTGACTCACACAACAGTTAACATTTTCACATGTCAAGGCATAATTGATGAGTGATCTTATGTAAGTTAATGCTGTCACCAAATGGACACCAACCTTAGGGCTATACAGTCACTGTGGTAGTACTACCTGACCATGAAGATCTCTGTTAAAGACTAGACTAGAGCATGAGCCCAAATTAATTGTTTTATCTAGGTTGGACAGCCTGTTTTAAGGCCTCATGTTTTCCTTTGTGTGACCTAGGAACTCTTTAGGTTTTTCCGATTGTAAATAGTTATATAGTCTGACCAATTGAATTTTGTTTTTGGCCAATGTGATTCTCACCTCAGATTGGTGCTATCCCATCCATTTTCCTTCATGGTGATATCCATTTATAAGTACAGACCATAACCTGTGGCAATTTGGTGGTATTGTAAACTAGGTCCAGCTTCTTCTCTTAGGACTTCTGTAGTCTAGTATGCATAAATTGTCTGGGAATTGACTCTGGTATCCTGTTGTTGGCCTTAGGGCCTTGCAGGTGTTTTCTGTTCTAAGTGTTCATGTCTTTCACAGGTACTTCATGGTTTATCTGGAGAGATGTTTTGCTGTGAGCAAAACTGGGCTTGTTTTGGAAAGTTTGTTGACAAATCCAATTGAACACAGACTACTCTGAGTTTGATTTGAGCAAGGAGTTAAGTGGAGTTGAACTTTTCAGTGTGTGTTGTGTCTAAAAAATGGTTGTATTCTCATTAGTGGGGCTGGGCCCAAGAGATGACTCAAACTGCAATGTTTTAACTTCACTTAAGTTATGTATTTTTGTCACCATAGGCTAGTGAAAATTCAGGGCAAGAAAGCATTAGGCACAACTAATGATTTCTGCCTTATGTACTTTAAGGATGCAGAAAAATATGAGAGAAATAGTTGAAATTCTTTGAAAGACTGAATACTGCAATTAAATCTCCAAAGAGACTGTATTGTTCACATTTAAAATTATGTAGGCATTTTGATGACTACTTAGTTTTGCTAACAGTGTGCTGCAGAAAATCATGCTTTCTTTGGCTCTCTTTTTTTTTTTTTTTTGGTTTTTCGAGACAGGGTTTCTCTGTGTAGCTTTGCGCCTTTCCTGGAACTCACTTGGTAGCCCAGGCTGGCCTCGAACTCACAGAGATCCGCCTGCCTCTGTCTCCCCAGTGCTGGGATTAAAGGCGTGCGCCACCACCGCCCGGCTCTTTGGCTCTCTTAAGAGCACTCATTTTCTTTCTGAACCTTTTAAATTTTATGACTTTTTTTTAATTAAGAAAAATTTTCATTCAGTTTGCACACCAATCAAAGATCCCCCTCTTCCCTTCTCCCACTCCCCAGCCTCCTCCTTCCAACCCATCCCCCAAAAGAAGGCAAGGCTGAACCTGATAGAAGAGAAAGTAGGAAATAGTCTTGAAGGCATTGGTACAGGAGTTCACTACCTAGATAAAACAGCAGTAGCACAGACACTGAGAGCAACAATTAATAAATGGGACTTCCTGAAACTGAGAAGCTTTTGTAGAGCAAAGGACACGGTAAATAAGACAACAACAGCCTACAGATTGGGAAAAGATTTTCACCAACCCCACATCTGACAGAGGGCTGATCTCCAAAATATATAAAGAACTCAAGAAACTAGACATCAAAGTAACAATCCAATTTAAAAATGGGCTATAGAGCTAAATAGAGAATTCTCAAAGGAAGAATTTCAGATGGCCAAAACACATTTAAAGAATTGCTCAGCATCCTTAGTCATCAATGAGATACAAATCAAAACAACTCTGAGATACCATCTTACACCTGTCAGAATGGCTAAGATCAAAAACACTGAAGACAGCTTATGATTCTTAAAGAAACACAGGCAAGTAAGATGTTGAAAAGAACTGCAGCCGGGTGGTGGTGGTGTACACCTTTAATCCCAGTACTCGGGAGGCAGAGCCAGGCAGATCTCTGTGAGTTCGAGGCCAGCCTGGTCTACAGAGTGAGATCCAGGACAGGCACCAAAGCTACACAGAGAAATCTTGTCTCAAAAGAACTGCAGATAGCCATGGAATTAACAGGGCCTTAGGGATCAATTATGTAGGAGTTGTCAGTAGTTATTTGCTGGGAAGAAAGCGGACAAAAGCCTTTTTATTTTTCTTTGTTGTTTGGATTCTGACAAAAGGAAGTAATGAGATTTTTTAATTAATTTCTTACTTGAGTAGGGGGTATGTGTAGGGGTTAGGTGGGGTAAGGTCTTGCTATGAACCTAGTTCAGCTTGGCCTTGAACTCATGTTCATCTGCTTCAGCCTCCTGAGTACTTAGAGTCCAGGCATGTGCTGCCACACTCACTGTGTAGGTAGTAGAAGTCTTCCTTATAAAATTACTAGATTAGAGGCTGAAGAGATGGCTAAGCAATTGAAAGCACTTGTTTCTCTTGCAGAGGACCTCAGTTCAGTTCCTTATACCCACATGATGGCTCACAACTATTTGAAACTCCAGTTCCAAAGGTTCTAATGCCCTCTTCTGACTTTTGAGGGTACTAGGCATGGACATGGTACACATATATGCATGCAAGCAAAACACTCATACACTTAAAATAAATCTTTTAAAACATTAGAATTGTTAGGTCAAAGAAATGTACACATAAATTTAGATTGGTTGGTAAATTTAGATACCTTCTAAAATGGTTTTACCATTGTGCTGGTTAGTTTTTTACTGTCTACTTAATACACTAGAGTCACCTGGAAAGAGAAGAATTTTGAGATCAT